AAATATTTCCAGGTGATCATCAGAATTTACATAGACAACGAAAGAACAGTTCAGTTTGAGAATTTATTAGACTTTGATTAAAGGATATTTACTTTCTGTATATTGACATATGATGTAGATAATTTGTATTTTAATGATTTACAAAGATTAACTTTCTTAGTTTCAGTTTCTTCTGTCATTAAGTAATTTTCTCACTCCCCCAATACTTTACCACAGCTGTGAAAATTTAAATAGATAAAAATAAAAAAATGCTTAATTTAATTTTGCATAATTGTGAAAATAATAAGTAGTGAAAAATTGATAATTGAAAAAAAAGAAATATTAACATATTATCTGTTGAAATTATTAAAAAAATATAATTCTGCCAAACATAAAAATGTGTGTTAGAAGCATGTCACGAGTACCTCTTCAACAGACAGCATACATGTGCCCAGTTTCCAGCAGTGGTAAATGCTACCTTGAAACTGACTCAATCACAGATTGTTGTTGAGGTGTGTCAACTCTCTCGTCCCGATGAGGGAGCAATAATGTAAGTTTTGTTCTTCAATTGTTAAGGGAAAGCAGTCAGTCGATCCCTGGCCTGGCAAGTTCTGAATGCGCCAGTCACTGCACTAAATTATACACAGTACATCGGGAGACTCTACAACCGAACAAAAGACTTGAATGTGTGACATACCACATTTCCCCTGGACTACAAAATCTATATTTCTTTCAAAATGGGGACACACGTTAATGCCAAAGAAGTTAATTAGTTTTACTCTGAGCACAGAATATTTTCAGAAATAACTGTTTTCCAGCCTTCAGAATACTAAAAGTTTTAAAGGCCCTTGTTTCACAGGAAGATAAATGTGTAGCTAGATTACCTTTCCAAATAAATTCTGAGAAACCTTTTGAAAATATATTATCTGTTAGTGAAACAGATTTCTATACTATTTATGGTTTTTTAAGTTACATTTTTTTCTTTTTACCACAGCCTCAGTTATGTTTAATTTTCCGGACCAAGCAACAGTAAAAAAAGTTGTATACAGCTTACCTCGGGTTGGAGTGGGGACCAGCTATGGATTGCCACAAGCAAGGTATTGTCATTAAAGTATTTTATGTTATATAGTGTTTTTATGCTTGCAAACTCAGAAGGGTTGATATTTGTGAAAATTAAAGCATTACTACAACCAGAGGTCTAGATTTCCCAACATTTTAGTGTCTTGAACAGCAATATTTTTAACTTAATTAAGTGATAGGTTGTTTGTAATTTCAATGGTTAAATAACTATGTGTGTATTTGTTTTTGAGGTGCCATTTTTGCAAAGATTTTTGGTTTTGGTTTCACCATCCATCAATATAGAAAATATTTTGCATTTTCCAAGTTTCCCCATCTTATTCGGATTATACTAAATTATTTTTCTCCTGCTTCTGTGATTAAGAGGGGAATATATTTGAAAAATGCAAACTCAAGGCTTAGGTTTACAAATCTAAATACTATATAAAAATGTATTGTAAAATCAGCTTGAAGCATTAACAGGTTTCACATAGCTTTACAGCATTGTCAAAATACACAGAGGAGTCTTCCATTTTTACTACCAACATTATCTGAAGAGTTCCAATAAGCCCCTGAGATACTCTCCTTCAAAGCTCCCCATCACTCCTATCCGCCTTCTTACCTTCTGTGAGAAGATCATCTTGTGGTGCTGATTGCATTCATGCATCAACTCTCACACCAGGGTTTTTTGCCTTCGCATCTAGGCTCAGTTATATTGCCAGCTTGGGAATATTTAAAAAGCAGACACTCTGTAAGGATATTTAGTAAATCTCATACTTCTCTAAAATTTTCAAATATCTTACTATAGCCGTAGTCTGTCTGCACTCTGCACATTAAGGTCTTGATCTGCTGGGAATTTACTGTCTTCCAAAAAGCCAGTATAGCAGATCCATATAAACTTCTCCACGTTTGTGATAGCATGTCTGAAAAGAGGTGTAGTTTGATCAAAGCTTGCAGGATTAACAAAACCTACAGCAGTCCTGTGCTACCTGAAATAAGTAGGTATGGAATCAATTTATTGTGCATAATTTATTTTGGCCTTTGCTGAAATAACTTGAACGCTGAAATTCCTCAGATATATAGTCAATAGAGAGCTTTCTGGGCACATTTGCTTTCCTACATGTTTCAGTTAAATCAAATGTAGCATTTACGGACATTTTGTAAATTTGTGAGATTCCCTTTGGAGAATTTGGGTCAAACCTAAAATAAATTAGTATATTATACCAATCTTTTGTAGTAGTAGTAGCATTTTATTTATTTATTTGATTAATTAATGAATTTATGTATTTGTGTCCGATAGTACTCTCAACATCTTAGGGTCTTACAGTTACAAGAGATGGGTTCCTTTAAAATGAATTATTAAACTATTTATAACTTAATATAAGTTACTAAAATGTTAAATACATTCTTCACATTGTTTTAGAAGGCTGCGTGTGGGAACACACAACAGAATGGAAATCACTTGTAAAATAACATGACCGTTCTGTGCTGCATATTTGTCAGATCTGTTGTCCCGTTGGAGTCCCTTGATTTTGTAGAGAAATACAAAGATAAAAAATGGCAAAAAAACATTTGCAGCTACTGTAGAGAGATGGATGTTAAGATTTTCAAATAAGTGTGCATGTACTTCCAGAGGCAGGGCTGGTGAGAATCTACACCAGGCTCTCTGGAGAGCCAGCTCAGGCCCCCCAAAAGGGCAGGGCATCAGGCAGAAGGGGTGGGGCTGGGAGCTATTTTCCCCCAGGCCTTCAGTGCTACTGGAGCCACAGCATGCATGCTCCCAGGGGCTCCATCAGCGATTTAAACGGCTGAGGTAGTGGTGACAGAGGCTGGCCACTTCAGGCACTTAAACTGCAAGGTCCCAGGGCTGCTGCCCCCTTGCTAACTCTGTCAACAGCACTATGGACAGGCATTTTTATGTCTAATTTGTATGTGTAAGAACCGCCATTTTTCACAAGTCACAGTTAATTTATACCCACCAATCAAGGTAATTGTATGTTCAAATTAAGCATACAAATGTTGATTCTCTGCTTTGTAAATTGGGTCTGCTATATATATGGTCCAATTCATAGTCATGAAAAATGCAGCATGGATCATGAAATCTGGTTTTCCCCTGTGAAATCAATGAAGGAGATCAGTTTTTCTCATATTGGGGGTCCTGATCCAAATGGGAGTTGCAGGGAGGTTATTTTAGGTGGGTCATGGTATTACCCCTCCCTTACTTCTGTGCTACCTTCAGAGCTGGGCAGCCAGGGATTGGCAGCCCTGTCAGCAGCAGTACAGTAGTAAGGGTGGCAATACCATACCATATCACTGTTACTTCTGCTCTGATGCTGCTGGCAGCAGCTCTGTCTTCTGAGAGTTGGGCTCCTGCGCAGCAGCTACCACTCACCAGATGCCCAGCTCTGAAGGCAGCGCTGCTACCTGCAGCAGTGCAGAATTAATGGGAGGCAGTACCACAATCTCCCTAAAATTACCTTGGGACTCCCCAACTTCTTTTGGAGTCAGGTTCCCTACAATTACAGCCCCATGAAATTTCAGATATAAATAGCTGAAATAATGGCATTTATGATTTTTAAAATCCTATGACAATGAAATTGACTAAAATGGACTGTAAATTTCGTAAGGCTGTAACTATATATGCAATTATATCAATGTCTCTGTGTGCAAATGTGTGCCTCACATTTTCAATAATGGCTAACGCTTTTGGGTGTGCTCAACTTGACACTTTTAAGGGAGCCTATATTAGAAAGTGTAGAGCACCTATCATTTGTAAACCATCCACTTTTAAGTGTGGCCACCCAGAAGTTGTGTCACCTCAGATGAGTAGTTGCTGTTGAAAATTTAGGTTGTAAATAATTAAATAAAATGTACACATCTCAAAGTTTTCAGAACCCCCCCCCCCCCTCTTCA